CAAGAAACGTGTAGATGTGGTGCTTAGGGACATGGTTTAGTGGGTTGGGTGGTGTTAGGTTCATGGTTGGACTTGATGATCCTTGAGGTCTTTTCCAACCTTTATGATTCTATGATTCTATGAAATGAGTCCCTGGGGACTGTGAGGGAGTTGGAGATGGGGTGTCATGTCTAAAATTGAACTGTATGTGAAACAAAGGGGTGGTGATTTGAAAGCAGCTGCCACACAGGGTGCTGAGTCCCCAGGGCCACATCTCCAAGGGTACAAGTGGGGAAGGCAGCTGTGGAGCTTGACTGAACAAGCTTGTGGCAGCTCCCCCAAGCCACGCAGCTCTGCAGCTCCCCAAACAAGCTGTTCCACCCTCGGGACCTTCCCAGCCACCGTGACCCAGTGAAGCAATGACAGGCAGGCACAAGGCTGGCTGACATGCCTAATGCTGAGGCCATGCTGGTCCAGCCTGTCCACGCCAGAGCGATGCACATGGAGATTTCTGTGCTCACCTGCATCCCGATGATGGCGTAGATGAAGAAGAGCATGGCGATCAAGAGGCACACATAGGGGAGGGCCTGCAAGAGAAGGACGTGAATCATCTCATGACCAGGCACCCTGGGCTAGTGGGAGGTGTCCCTGCCCATGGCAGGGGGGTGGGACTAGATGGTCTTTTAGGGGCTTGATGATCTTTAAGGTCCTTTCCAACCCAAACCATTCTGTGACTCTATGATCTCATTTAGCACAGGTCCAGCCCTGGAGGAGCAAAAAAAGCACAGCGAGCAGGTAAGCTGTGCCAATCCGTCTCTTCTACAAGCCAACAAGTCAGCAAGACCTTGGGAACAGCGTGCATTTGGGAGAAGCACCCCAACACTGTGACCTGGGAGGAGACCAAGGCACTTGTGACTTACCTTGAAGGACTGCACGAATGTCCAGAGCAGGATGCGGATGGTGTAACCCTGGCGCAGCAGCTTGATGAGCCGAGCAGCCCGGAAAAGCTTCAGGAAGCTCATGTTGAAGCTGCTGGTGTTCACCAGCTGGGAGGAGATGAGAAGGTCAGAGGGAGGCAGGAGCCCCGCTACCCCGCAGAGGTTCCTCCCGCTGCTCCCAGCCCCTGCTTCACCTTGGTGTCCGTCAGGATGATCTCAGTAATGCTGCCGATGACGGTGATGAAGTCAAAGATGTTCCAGGTGTCCCGGAAATAATTCTGCAAAAGGAAGGAGAGAGGGAATATGGATTTGAGCTCAGGGATGGCAGCTCTGAAGGACACTGGGCCATGGGCCAAGGCTGCTCCTGGGCAACGGCAGCAGCAGCAGAGACCTCACCACCCATTTGCATGCGGCTGTGGTCTGGAGCATCATCCTGTGTCTGAGACAGTAGCAGACCTGAGCGTGTCTGCAGTGAGCAGCTTCTCCTGGGAGATGACTCACGCATCCAACGGGCCACCTCGGCGAATGCGAGTGGGAACAGCAGCCACAGCCAGCCCTGGTCAGGATGCAATGGCTCGGCACACTGACCCTCACAGCCAAGAGGTTGCTTTGCCCCCCTCTTCAGGGGCACCCAGATCCACCTCAGCTCGTGCTGTTTGGGCAGCAGCTGGTGCAAGACCAGACTTGACCATGGCTTGACCACGGCTGGAGCTGCTGGAAGCAGGGAGGGTGGCTAGAAACCCTCCTGCTAGTGGATCTCATCTCCCAGTATGGGTTAGAAACAGGAAAGAAACAATGAAGGAGCAAACCTGACTTGCTCATAAGCAGCAAAGAGTAGCTGAAGAAGAGGCAGTCTCTGGTTTCAAATGTCCCTGGAAACATTCAAGGTCAGGTTGGATGGGGATTTGAGCAACCTGATCTAGTTAAAGATGTTCCTGCTCATGGCAGAGGGGTTGGACTAGATAACTTTTAAAGGTCCCTTCCAACCCAAACCATTCTGTGATTCTACAATTCAAATCTTAAATGAGCAGCTGGAGACTTGAGGACTGGGAATTGGAGAGGGAGGTCTCACTGCTAGTTAGGTCTGCTCCAGCTGATACAGCCCAAGGGCAGCAATGCACCTGATCTCATGGCTCCCGGAGACAAGGGACAACAGCCACCAGCATGATGGCAGCAGCAGTTGGCTTTAGCAGAGGACTGTGCAATACATACAGGGTCCAGGCACCAAAGTACCTCAGAAACAAGGCAGAAAGTAAAGCAACAGTGTGGCTTTCCTCACCAGCACCCAGCAGTGGGAAGTTTAATGAGAACCAAAGGAGCAATTCCCACCTAAAGGCAGCTCTCAGGCTGGGACTCAAAATAAAAAGCAACAACCTCACATTATTAACACCTTCCCTTTGTGATTTGTGCACTGACAAAGTCCAAATTAACACCCTCGTCAAGAACAGGAGCAGCCACTCACCAGGAAGCCAAAAGCAATGATCTTGAGGACACACTCCAAGGAGAACACCATGGTGAAGGCGATGTTCAGGTACTTCAGGGCCAGCTCATAGGTGTATGGAGCAGAGTAGTACTGATGGAAAGAGAGACATTGCTAGCCAGGAGGGGGCCTGCCAGCCCTTGGCTGATGACCGTCCCAGGAAAGACCTGTGGTGGTCCATGTTCCTTGCCCTGGGTGCCTCAAGACCAACCTCCTCCTTCCCCTCTCCACCCCTCTCTCAGGACAGCTGCCACTGCTCCTAAGAAGGAAGCCCAGAGTGAATCCAGATCTTTCTGCTGTAGTTAAGAGACCCAGACCATTTGGGTCATCTTGTTTAGGGAAGATCTCGCCTCCAGTCTGGGGCACATGGTGTTTCCAGTGACTACGCCAAAGGAATACATGCTCAGACGCCATCTCAAAGCATCTCCTAGAAACAACCAAAATACCCTCTGGCTCCATCCTGACCAATCCTCCTTCTCCCACCACCCCAAACAGGACAGGCTCACCCCAACTGGCTCACCTTCATCATCAGCACTACGGTGTTCAACGCTATCATGGCCATGATGGTGTACTCGAATGATGGGGAGACCACAAAGTGCCAGACCCGGTACTGGAAGGTGTGCCGGTTCTGGGGCATGTACCGCGTGAGGGGCTTGGCGCTGATGGCAAAGTCAATACAGGCCCTCTGGAACAAAACAACGTGCATCAGACCCTGGCCAACGGTAATGTGGGGGACAATGGCTGCCACATGTCTTTCCTTCATGGGCTGGGCAGGTGCCTCACAGGTTTCTCACACTTTTTAAACAACTGGGGACCTCCAGGCTCCCAAACCCCTTCGGTTACCCCAGAAAAACATCCTCTTTCCCCATGCCCAGACTGTACCTCATTCTTCTCCAGACTGCACTCCTCCATCATTTTGTCTCCTTGCTCTTGGAATGTAATGATGATGAGAGCCACAAAAATGTTGACAAAGAAGAAAGGGAAGACCACAAAATAGACGACATAAAAAATGGACATCTCCATGCGGTTGCTGCGGCTGGGCCCGCGGTCCTCCTCCGTCACGTCCACTGAATGCTGCAGCACCCTGTGGGCAGAGAGGTGAAGAAAAGCAACCCGAGATATGCCCATCAGGACTGCCACCATGGGGCACTTCTCATGGGACCCACTTTGTACAGCCAGCTCTGGCTGTCCACACTTGTAACAATGATAAGATAAAGCTCTGTCTTAATCTGCTTTACAAAGACAACCCTTTCAAGTGGCTCCAGAGCTTGTTTTACGGTGCTTTCCCTGTACTCCTGATGGAAAATGGATTTGCCTGTGCTCTACACACAGAGAAAAAAATTGCCCAAGTTCACACAAGCATGGAGAGAGGTCCAGTCCTACAGTCATCTCTAAAATTGAACTAAAATATAGCTCATGGCCACACAGGAGACGGGATTATCCATCATTCACTCCCTAAGGAAGAAGCTAACCCCAGCCTCGTTCCCAGCCTTATAGTGGGCTAAAAGCTTTTTTGTCCTGACATAATTTCTCCTCCTTCCTCTCCTCCTCCCTGCCCAGCAGTTCCTCTCTCAGTCCTGCTAGGTGTAGCCAGTTATTAACCCAGACACCCCAATGGGGATGCGATCACCCCCATTCAAAGGGGCAGATGGAGCAGAATACTCACTGGGGCCAACCCTCGCCAGTGGAGACCGTGAAGAGGGTGAGCAAAGCCCAGATGATATTGTCATAGTGAAACTCATGGCGTTTCCATTCCCGGCACTTCACCTCCATCTTGTTCTTCTCATGGTCCACGTAGTTCCCTCTGCAAAGTTGTGACAGAGCAGTGACTTTGCTTTTTTATGCTGCCAGACTATGAGACAGTGGCTTCAAAGCCTGGGGGCAGCGTGTATGTGCGGTGGGGGACACACCTCTCCTTCTGCACAGCTGGAGGGAGAAATAGGGGGAGGTTGGATAACAACTGCGAGAAAGCAGAGAAAGGGAAAGCAAAAGGGAGGAGAGAAGGTGGAAAGAGAACAGGACCAAAAATAGGTCGCTCTGCATCCTGCACCCCATACGAGGATGCACAGCACCAACATATCAACAGGGATGGGCCTCAGCCCGTGCTGTCCACCCCGAGAAACTATAGTCAAGAGCAAGTCATGACTGTGGACTTAACTGGGAACCCAAAGATGACATTACCCAGCACCCCGGCAGCGTCGGACCTACTGAACAGGGCACCTACATGCAGTCCTTCTCCGTGTCCTTGGAGCTGTCAGTGCAGTAGAAAAACTTCCCCTTGAAGAGCTGGACGGCGATGACAGCAAAGATGAACATGAAGAGCTTGTAGACGATGAGGATGTTGAAGACGTTCTTGAGGGAAGTCACAACGCAGTCGAAGACAGCCTGTGGGAGAGAGGACAGCTCACCTTGGAGAACCAACAGGCTCGGCAAAGGGCATGGCCAAAGACTTCCTCAAGACTGCCATGGGGAAAGACATCTCCCACTCCTGGGGAAAAGGAAGAAAAAGCCTTCTCCCAGGGAAAGGATTATTTTATGAATGAATTTAACACCTGGAGCACCCGCCAGCACACCCACGGACACTGAGCAGCCCCTGGGACGGCAGCAGGGATGGATATTTACACCCTCCAATGATGTAACCCTAACCCTAACCTCTCTGCAACCTGGGGAGCAGACAGGGGATGCCTGGATGATGCAATTAGCAGCACTCAAGACCAACTAGTAAACTCTTCTTTGATTTGCATCACCCTGAATAACAAGGGAATACCCCTGCCACAGCAGCACCTCCATTAGGCTGCAGAGACTGTGCTCTCAGCCCGAGTTCTCACAGCACTTTAAGAAAGAGAGAAATGTCCTTATTCCTGCTTCATGATGCAGACAGAGGTGTCTAGAAATGAACTGACATGGGCTGAATCCATCCACTGATTAGAAAGAAAAGCGGGGGTCAAAACCCTTGTCTCTGGGGTGTCTCACCCATCACCCAAATATCCCCTTGTGAGATAAACTCAGGGCTTCCTTGGCCTCCTACTCCTTTCTGGTTCTATATCCCATTGGCTAAGGTAGGGAAATCCATAATCCTACCTTCACTGCATAAATAATCCCTCTGTTCAGATGGGAAATCCCCCTCTGGTACAACACCATGACAACACAAGCACACAAAATCCTGAGTTGTTTGCAAGCTGCTCCAGTGGGAAAGATTATGAACTTTGGAAAGAAATCAGAGCTCTCCCAAAGCCAGGCTATTTTATCAGGAGAGCATCTGGGCTTTGCTGCCTCGTGTCCACTCCAGCCTCACTTTCCCCGGCACCTTGCAGAGATACAGGCTTGCTTTTAACAATTCATGGCACCTCCAGATGTGAAGCAGCCTGAAGGGCGTTGTGTTTGAAAACTGGGCTCCTAAAACACGGTAAACGCTTGGAAAACTACTTGTTCATCGCTCACAAGCAAACCAACACAGTCCCTGCACCAAACAGTCCATGCTGAAGAAGACAGACATACGGCAGGAGATGGGGATCATTACCTTCAGTTTGGGCAGTCGCTTGATGGTTTTCAGAGGCCTCAAGACCCGTAGCACACGGAGAGACTTGATGGTCTTGATATCCCGGCCCTTGTTGGTCCTACCGCGTCGGAGGGAGGCACACGCACCCAAAAACGAAACGGAGAAACAATCACCTTGCAGACCTGGGGCTGGATGCTCTGGGGGTTTCAACTGCTGACAACTCCCCCCACCCAGCATGAGTGAGGATGGGAACAGGAGGGCCACCAACGTGTGACTGCTGAGCGCTCAGCCCACCTACACGAGTCTCCACCAACACACACGCTGATGGCTGGCAGAGATTAAAAACAAAGCCATCCTCTCCTCCTGGGGATTAGCACCTTTCCCCTTTGCTGGGGAACAGTGATCTTACCAAATCCCCTCAGTGTGGGAAGCAGGGCCATGCCAGGGCTGGGGCAGGCGATGCAAGGCTCTCCCCAAGCAAGGGCAGCTGCCCGAGGGGTGCTGGGATGCACTGTCCTCCCTCATGTCCCCAAGCCATGCCACCCAGCAGGGCCAGGAGGTTTGCTTCCCTTACCACAGGCATGTGTGATCCGCAGATGGGGCTTGCAAAAGCCCCCCAGCATTGCAAATTGTTTTCTACCATTATTACTTGTTGCAAGAAATTCATAATAAAATGAGGGAGGTGCTCTCAGTGGGGTTTACATGCGGGTGTCCCAACAAAGGTTTTTCCATCCTGGCTTAAACTCGAGATTCATGATCCTTCTATTCACCTAGGGAAGGATGTGCTCTGTGCTTGGTTCATTCTCTTACAGCTTTCTGCCTTGTTCCATCAGTGCTGCCCAGTAGAGTCAGCCTGCTCGTCCATCTCACATGCCTGTAATGTCTCAGCCCCCTCTTCCCTCTCCAGATCAGGGCTGCACTTGCCTCCACCCCAAGTCAGCCAAGGGAGGAGGCAGAGCTTCATAGTATAATTATTTTGAAAAGCCCCCTCGTGACCCTCATTTCTTGAATATGATCATTAATCCCAACCACAATAACAGTTTTTTGGTTTTTTTTCTTGCCTTTTAATAACTAAAGCCCATGGGCTGGAGCCCAGGATGGAGCAGAGAGGTCCTGGTGAAGGTGGCACAGTTTGGATCCACCAAGCACCCTCAAAAACCATCAAGCCAACCACTTACAACAACAGATGCTCCGAATTACACAGCTCCTCTGCGAGGGTTAACGCAACAGGGAGCACGATAATGGGCTTAATCATTAAGAGATGTAAACAAAACCACTAATTAATAGTCCCCCCTAGGAGCACAGCCCCAGGAACAAATGGGAAGCAACTTACAAACTGCCCTGGGACTCCCTTTGCACCTCCCGAGTCCTGCTTTGCTGGGTTATCAGGGCCTGGGAATGTGGCTGAGGCATCGACCTGGGGCTGGGGGATGATTTGAGGGCAGGGCTGGGCTGGTGCAAGCTGCCACCAAGGGCAGCTCAGCTTCAGTGGTTTGCATCTGCTGAGGAGGGACCTCTTCAGACCTCAGGAAACCTCCTGTGGATTTGTTTGGGATCCAGCACGGATACAGGACATAGAGCTGGGTAATGCCTGGAGGAGAGCCTGGCTTTGCTGTGTCTACAGCCCAGGCTGAGCTCTCCCCAGCCTGCTGAGCTTGGCATGAACCACATCCCATGCCCTCGGAGGAGGTCAGGGCTGAAGTCCCTGCAGGCAAAGCCCCCAGCTTAGTGATGGACACCGCTTTCCCTGTGCCCTGCTCCCCTGGGTGTGCCTCACACCATCTCGGGGTACTGTCTGGACCCCGAGATCCAGGATGAAAGCCCCCTCCTCTGAAGGGATTGCAGCACTTGCCAAAAAAATCTTGCCTGCGCTTTCCCGGAGCAATGCCGGGACGCATGCAGAGCAGCATGCTCCAGCCTCTGCAAACACAGTGAAGGGTCAGCATAGGTGATGGATGGACAGACTGCACCCGTTCCCCCGCGCTCCCCAGGGCAGCACCCCAAACAGCATAGTTACCCCAAAGCATTCCTGTCGGCGATCCAGCCCGGCAGCCACCACACAGCACCAGCGGAGAGAGAGAAAAAGAGAGAAGAGAGGGAGAAGGTAAGAAAAGCAGAGAGGGAGCTGTGCGGGGATGATGGCAGCCTCTCAGGCCATGGGGACCCACTCCACCGCCCCGCGCCTGGGTTCAAAGACCACAATGTGTAGTCCACCATGGGGTTTGTCTCCAGGGTGACTCATCCCATGAGCCAGGAGCTCCTTCCCTCCCTGCTGGAGGTTTTGGGAGGGGGGTGTGCGGTGAAACCTCGGCTGCAAGAGGAACCTGCGGAGAGTGGGACAGCGGGTGACAGCGGGAGGGTGGCTGGTGCTCCTTGGCCAGGAGTCAGGAAGGGACATCGAGGCTGGAACTAGATGATCTCTAAGGTCCACCCAACCCAAACCATCCTGTGACTCTGTGAACTCCTGCAACCCAGCAGGACACCCACTCAGATAAACCAAGGTGGTCTACAAGGTCCCTAGTTGTAACCAGCCCTCTGCCCCTGATCCAGCTCAGTCCCTGCTGCGTGCACACAGAGGGCTCAGCGCTGGGGGCAAAGCCTAGGAAACAAAACATTTATCAAAAACCACAAAAATAACCCCACGCCCTGGTTGTATGTTAGTGAAACAGGTGGAAAGTGTGTTGAAAAGGTGATAGTTTCATAGAATCACAGAATGGTTTGGGTTGGAAGGGACCTTAAAGATCATCCAGTTCCAACCCCCTGCCATGGGCAGGGACACCTCCCACCAGCCCAGGTTGCTCAAAGCCTCATCCAGCCTGGCCTTGAACCCCTCCAGGGATGGGGCATCCACAGCTTCTCTGGGCAACCTGGGCCACGGCCTCACCCCCCGCACAGGAAAACATTTCTTCCTAATATCTCATCTAAATCTGCCCTCATCCAGTTTAAATCCATTACCCCTCATCCTGTCGATAGTTTAAATCTGCAGCACTTCTGTGATGGGATATCACACTTCTGTCCCAACTGGCCTCGCACCAGGTTATTTTGCAGAACATAAGTGTCCCTTATGCTCGGTGCCAATGAGCACAAGAAGATGCTGCTCTGCAAAGAAAGAGGCAGCTCTGATGGGTACCACTGGCTGGAGAAACCCCTGCCCTTGCTCACCAGGTGAGACAACGAGGGCTATGCACTGGCCACTCAACCCTTCCACCAACCTTCCCACCGCTCAGCCTTTTCCCCAGGCATAGGTACCACATCTCTCGGCAGCTCCGCAGGGCTGTAGGCAAGAGCTGCTCCTCTGTGCAATGCCTCCTCTGAGGGTGCCACGGGAGGCAAAAGCAAGCAGCGTCTTTAGTTATGGTTCTGGTTATTTCAGCTAATTTAATTTGAACTCTTTGGAGATTTACGGTTTTATATTGGGCTTTTTATTTAGGCTGCATTTGGATTGACGTATGAGCTTTCCATGCGGAGAGCTACGGATGAGCCGAGATGACCTCTCGCTCGGGATGTACAGGCTTGGGGGGGGCAAAAAAACACGGAGACACGACTTTACAAGTGGGCACTTGCTCATTGATGACTTTGATGTGGCACCGATGGCCAGCAGAGGATGGTGGCAGTGCTGGACCAGCTCTGAGACCTCCTGCTGTGCCCATGGCTACCCAGGACCCCCCCATGGGAAAACCCAACCACAGAGGGGGGCAAAAAGGGCAGAAAACCCAAATGGCATGGCCTGGCATGGCCCAGCACTTCTTCTATGGGCAAGTGCTGGACCCGGTCAACAGTCACATAATTGCTGCAGCTGCTTGATGGGCATCACTTTGCCCACCCAGCACCATGGAGGTGAGGAGGAGCATCTTCTGACCCCACATCAAAGAGCTCACAGATGGAGAGAAAGAAAAGGAGAGGGATTCAGATGTCACCACCAGAGTTTTCCTCTCCAGACTAGGATGGAGGGAGGGAGGGCAACGGGTTGAGACATTTCTAGCTGGCAAACATCCTGTGCCTCCTGGGGCCACGATGGTGACGGGCTGCCAAGCGGAGAGGCAGGTGTTCTTATAAATGCTTTATAATGGATAAACCCATTGGAAATCGCTGCGGTTCCTTTGTTCCCTTCACCCCTGAAGCCATGAGATCATTTCCTCCAACGGACGCCACTGTGGGACTTGGGGGAGAGGGACAATCTTGCAGGTTTACATCATAAGGAGCCCTCATCCACAACACAAGCCACTCAGTATCTACCCAGCTACGGCTACAAGCGTGGGCAGGGGACATAGATTCTCGCTGCAAACACACGTGGAGATGCAAAGGCCATCTTCATGAGAGGGGGTCCGGTGCTGCAGCCGATGGGGGTGCTCACCCTCAAGAATTCATCTGCTCCGTGCTCAAAGGGACCTGTCTGTCCCTTGGGAGGCTGGGAGGAGGCAGGCAGGTTGGAAGGGGCATGGCAGCTTCTCCACATCCTCAGCGCTGCCACGTGGGGACCCTGCCAGCTCCTGGTGCCATTCCAGGAACCACACCGCCTTTGTGCGCTGGGGGCAAGGGGACAGTAAGCACAGTAAACAGCAACTACAGTACTGTTAGCGGTGGTGAGGACACCCATCAAACCAGGAGCAGGCTGAGCCATCAACCTATCCTCCTTCAGCCATCAAAAAGTCTTGGAGAAAGGTGCCTTAGAAGGAAAAGGTTCCCCTGTCCTCCTAAAGCCCCTCAAAGCACCCAGCGCATCTTTGGGCTGCTGCTGCCTTTGAGACCCACCGCCAGACATGCTCCGAGGGGCTGCCCTGGCAGAGGGGGATCAGCCAGACCCCAGAGATGCTCGATCCATCCTCGTGGTGGCCTGGGTGGCCTCTCAGGGGCTCAGAGCGATGTCCCCAGCCAGCAGACCTGGCCCTCGCCCTGCCCAGGGGCTGGTTCATCCCTGTGCTGAGCTGAATTCTCCTGTGCTCTTCCTGAGGAGAGGACAGCAGCTGAGAATACTGGGTGAGGACAGGGGTGATGGGGCGAGGAAGGCAAAAGCAACAAGCCAGGGAGGGTGCAAGTGGGCAAGAGCAAGGGGAAGGAGCTGCCACCCAGACAGGGGTGAGACAAGAGGGATGGATGGATGACAGGCTGTAACCCATCAAGCAACCCCGGGGCTCAGACCCAGCCACCCCAAGAGCCTGAGCTGTGGACAAGGACAGGGCTCCCGTTCTCTCCCTCACCAGCACTAATGCCACTGCCACCAGTGACAAAGGCACAAAGAGAACACCAGCGTGACAAACCCACACCATTTCCTCTCTTCTCCCTCCTTGAGCACCGACAGGGCACCATGACCCCGGGGACCAGGGGGTGCCCCTTGCCCACTCTCTGGGTGCCAGCGCATCCCTCCCTGGACTCACACCACACCACCTGCCCCAGCTGGGAGGGCAGAGCAGCACGAAAGTCATCCCTGGATGTCCCCCCCCTCCACGGCACGGGCATCACAGACACCAAGCCACTCTGCAGAGGAGGACCCACCTGCAGGTGCCACAAGCTCAGTCCCAGAGCCCGACTGCAAAGTGATGCTCACCAGGCACATCCTGCAGAGCAAGAGCACAGCACCCTGTCCTCAGCACAATGCTGCAGAAGATGCGGCACAAACGCCACCAGCTGCATCCCCATCCCTGCAGGGCTCCAGGGCAATGCTCCCCGTTGGAGCAGAGGAAAACAGAGGGCAACTCCACCTGGCAGGGTGGTGTTTTTGCTGTCTCTGTGAGCCCCAGCACATGTAGCAGGCATATAATTCCAGCTCTAACACCCTTAGGTCTTTTTCCCTCTCTAACAGCCCATTCTGCCCTCTTTCAAGTCCATTTTCACCACCAGCCTCTTCCTAGCATCTCCAGCTTGCCTTGTCCCCTGCCTGCTTGTTCACCAGCATTTGACAACCAAGGAGAAATACATGGAGCAGCCACACACCGCTGCCAGAAGCCATACCAGAAAGGTGCAGAGAAATCTCCCAAAAATCAGGGGCTAGTAGCCATAACACACAGTTGCATCCTCCTCCCACCCTGGGCGGGGGAAGGCAGGGAGCTGACAAGGATGGCAGCCACTTACGCCAGGGCGAAAGCCACCAGCGCTCCCACCACCACGATGAAATCCAGGATGTTCCAGAGGTCTCGGAAGTAGGAGCCATCCTGCAGAATCAAGCCCTGATCGATCATCTGTCGGGGAGCAAACAGTGAGAAAAACAGGCAGAGAGTGAGCAGCTCGGCCACCAAGCAGAAGCAGCCCCAAGCGGGATGTGCTGGGGACAGGGACATCGCTGGGGAGCAGCGGACCTGTCCCTGCATCCCAGGTGTACATCAAGGAGCATCATAATTTTGGGAGCCTGGAGACTGATAAAAGCAGTGCTGAGCTTTCTCAACTCCCAAGTTGAGTCTCCATCATCCAATTTTAGGACCAGAAGTGAATAAACGGAGTGATTTCCCACCCACTGCGAGGAGGCCACGGGACTCGGCATCCCCAGCGCAGCCGGCCCGCGAGGCTTCATACCTTGATAACCATCTCGAAGGTGAAGACGCCGGTGAAGACGTAATCAAAATACCTCAAGACCTGCAGAGAGAGGGCACAGGCGCTCTGCAGCCGCTGCCAAGCAAAGGGGCTCCCTGGCACCCACCTGCACCCTGTCACCGCCCCGCACCCAGCGCCAGGGTTTATAAAGCCAGGTGATGGGGAGGAAGTCAGGATGGGGAGAAGGCCGGCCCCCACAGCTGCCACTGGCTGCCCCACACGTGCCCCATCATGGAAGCAAAAATCCTGCAGGATCTCTGCCTGCGTTGCCCACAGGATGGGGGAGAGTAGGGGGAGATTTGCAATCACTTTGTTACGGTCTGAGTTGGTGAGGACGGGATCCTCGGCCGCCAGGGCGATGCTGCTGGCGGCGATCACCAGGAGGATGCACATCTCGAAGTAGCGCAGGTTGACGATGTAGTGGCAAGCCCTCCGCACCCTGTGGGGAGACAGCCCGGACCCCCACCTGTGAGCCCCTGGCATGCTCCAGGCACAGCCCACACACAAAACCCACCCCCCAACACCATTTTCCAGGGCAGAAAGATGGGCAGCAAAGTCTGAGGAGCAAAAGAAGGGAGTCCAAGGGGGATTTGGGCTTGCTGACCCCTTTGCTGGGCTTTCCCAGGACCCCAAACACCCTGCAAGCGTCCCTGAGAAATTGGGGTGCTTCTTCTTCTGGGCTGCTGGAGCTGGGAATTGCTACAGGGGAGCAGAAAATCGCAGAGATGTGCAAGAAGCATTGAATAAAAATCCCAACTAGCAATCAGCAGGCAGGAGAGAAAGCCACGAGCACGGCTGGCATGGACCGAGAGCGCTCCCAGGGCTCAGGGAATGCTGCTGCAGGTTATCCTGCATTCTTTGGGAGATTTCAGCCCCCTTCTGAAAGGGGTTCCCTCTTTTCAGCGGCACCTAGGGGTCCTTCCCCATGCAGTCCTCCCCAGCCTCAGGCTCCTACAATCCAAAAAAACCATCTCACGGGTTGGTGGTGCTGAAGATGAACATGGAGCTGTGCGGCACCATGGCTTTGCCCGTCTCACTTTTCTCTTTCTTCCGCTTCTTCTTCTCCACCTCCTCCTCATCCTCTTTGCTCTCAGCCTCCTTTAAGGGACTGGCTTCACCATCTGTCTTGTTGCTAACTGCAGGAAAGCGAGAGCCTTTGCCCAGCCTTGCACCCAGACAGTACTCTGGGGTGTCCCCGCCCCCCAGGAATGTGCAACCCCCCCCTCTCCCCATAGTTTCTGCTTTGCACCCCCGTGCCGTTATGGGGAGAGGAACCAGAAGGAAAGAAAAGACACGAGCTGCTGGGATGAAGCTGGCAGAAGGGGTTTTAACGAGGCCAGCTTGCATGGTGCTGTTTAATTAATAACGCTGTTTAAAGCGGCTCACCTTGACAGTGAGGATGCTGCTCAGGGGTTTGAGCAGCAGCGAGCCCGGCAGAGGCTGTGGATGTGTCAGGAAAACAAGGGATGCGAGCGTTTCGCCCGGGTGGGGAGGAAGGGGGAAGGAGGGATCAAGCAAACGCATGGGTGGGAAGGAGGTGAGAAAGGGAGAAGTTTCCCAGGGGATGGTGGCACATCAGCGCTGCGTTCGGGCTCCCCGGAAAATTTGGGGTGATGGAGGGAGGTGCTGCAAGGAGCAGCATAAGCAAAGCCCCCCCACTTGATAGCTGGGCATAGAAAAAGCCATGCAAGTGGCTTTTCATCCCCACCCAGGGTCTCTGAGGGCTGGGAGAGGGGAAAGAGAGACAGGTCCTCACTCTGTACCACAGCGGAGTCGTGGACATCGATCATGATGGTGGTGCTCTCCGTGGCCTTCTCGGTGTTGGGAGTGATGGAGGAGAGGTCAGGCTCACTCCGGCTGACAGTGCGGCTGCCTTCCAGCAGCGCTTGCTCACTGGTGTCCAGGCTGCTGCAGTCCTGCTCCGTCAGGCTGCCCGGCTGCCCCCGGGGGGGCTCGGGTGCTGCTTGAGGGGTGCTCCCCTCCTCGGCTGTCCCTACCAGCTCAGCATCGCTGGCTGGGACCCCATTTGTCCTGTGGGGGAGAAGTGGGATGAAAAGAGGTTTGGGAAGACAACGGGAGAGGACAAGGAACTGTGATGCCCTCCCCGGGTACCAACCTGTCAGGCTCCCCGCTCGCCTCTGGCTCCCCTGGAATCAGCACCTCTGCTGCGGCCGCATCCCCATCCTGAGCCCCCTCTGTGGGGCTGGCCTCCTCCAGACCCATCTCCTGGCTGGCCGAGCGGCTCCCCAAGGCACTGGCCGGCTCCTTTCCCTCCATGCGGGCTCTGCGGTGCCGGCTGCGCCGCTGGCTCTGCCTCATCCTCACCCTCTCCTCGATTCCACCTCCTGCTCCATCCTGCTCGCCTGGCTCGCAGTTCCCGTGGCACGATTTCTGGTGCCACGACTCCTTGTCTCGCTTGGCCCGGGGCGATGGGCTCCTCCTGTCCTCACCACTGCCGGGGTTGGCCCCTGGGGGGTTGCTCAGGTCCCTCGCCCGGTGGCCGCTCACCCTTGCTGCCTTGCTCCTCAGTGCATCTCTCCAGGGTGACGCCATCCCCTGCTTTCTTCCTACGGAAGATGCTGGCGTGGGGGTTGATGAGGGGCGGCTCGTCCTTTTTTCTTACCCCCTTGCCCGGC